TCCCATAAACACACTCCTAAACCTTGTGGACAGCCTTCCCAGAAGAGTTGAAGCTGTTCTAGCTGCAAAGGGTGGACCGACGTCATATTGAACCCTACGGATTAGGAACGGGATGTCACTTAAGCTCATATGTGAGTCAAGGCAGGTGAGCAAATACTTTTGGCAATATAGTGTATATAATCAGAGATCTGATAATTCCTTATGTTCCAAACAGAACACAACACTCTCAGTCTGCATTTTTAATAGTGGTTCCTATAATTTCTAAAAGTAGAATGGGAGGCAGATCTTTCAGTTATCAGGCTCCTCTCCTGTGGAACCAACTACCAGTTTTAGTCCATGAGGCAAGGCTTAAAACTTTCCTCTTTGGTAAAGCTTATAGTTAGAGGGGCACAAATTATCCTGAGCTATCTCTATAGTTGTGCTGCTATAGGCTTACACTGCTATGCTTTGTGTGCGATGCACCAGTATGAATAGTGACAAAACAGGTCTTCTGCATCTGGACATATAAACCCAATAACTGAAGAACTTACCCGCAGACGGCGCTCCTTATGCAGAAGACAATGAGCAAAAATAGAGTATTTAACTTATTTATACCATCTTTCCTGTTAACATGGTGATATTAACCTAAAATGTAGTTTGTAAACATGGTCTACAACAGAGATATTTAACCTCTGAAGTTGAAAAAGCCATTTCCCCCTGAGTCGAGGCAAATAAAGTAGTTTAGAGCGGCAAATTTGACATGACCTTTTAATAAAACGTATTACTTTAGTTAATATCTGCTCTATGAAATCTGTTGTCATTTGTTTCGATTTTTAGGTTTTGAAAAGAGGAAAAAAATGTCTTCTATAGGATGTTAATTTGTGCTGAAATTCCATATAAAAAAGCTTCCGAGTTAATGACAAAGAAAGTGATCTAAAAACAACATAAATATATTTTTGGTTCATTTAATGTATTGCTTTTGGAAATTTCAACTCAGTATTTTAAATATTTTAACTGCGAAAACCTTCCAGATGTTTGTATGTTGTCATACCTTTATCGGTTCTTTATCACTTTAGCCACTATTAGGAGCCTTTATTGAGGGTCCAAAAAGCTGCAGCTTGCAGACCACCAGTCTATAACATCCTCTTTTCAGCTGCACACTGGGGCAAAATGCACGCATAGCTGCAGACTTACCTTGACAGCTCGCCTCCAGCTGGTTTCTCCTCAGTGTGCTACGGTTGCTTCCGTGCTCACTGCCATCATCTCGGCTGCACTGGCGGTGCAAGTGCATGGTCTCTGGAATCTCTGTAATCCGTTTCATCAGGGTGCGACCCAGGCCTTTCTTTGAGTTGCGCTTCTTTTGAAGATGAGGGTTGTTGGCAAGCATCTTCTTCCTTTTGTGGATTTCCAGCTGGGCGTACAGCTTCTTCAGCTCTTCCTACATGAGAATTGTGTAAATGTCTACTTGTATTTGCAAACTTGTTATGTTACATAAAATATAAAAAATTGTTTGCACCCTTAAAGATTCTTTCTATTTTTCCCCTTTTTTCTGGGTTTGGTAAACAAACAAAGCTTGATCTAATATAAGGTTTTATTTGGGACATATCTACCAACAGATCACCTGTGATTGATGACTGGAAATGTCATCTGACTCATTCAATGACTGAACAACTAACAGTCTTTACCATCACTGTCTTTTTTGCAGGATTGTTCTGGTTTGGCCATACTGGAAGATTCCTTTATGCATGAACTGCATGTTTAAAGGGGTCATAGAATGCAAAACCGAGTTAACATTGTCATAGCTGAATAGCGATAGTTCAGTGGGTGAAATGGACGTACAGAGAATTTCAAACCCCACATCCTTTCTCTGCAAATCTGGACCGGACCACTCACTGGACCGGACCAGGCATTCGAACCAAGCCGCCAGCTCCGGGGCTGGTCCGAACCCAACCTGGGTCCTTCCCCCCACCTGCCTTACGCCGTTGTCCAGGCTACCGTCACTGGGTTGCCAGAGCTGATAGCTCAATTCTGCTGCACTGTATGTGACCAAAATCCCGGACGATTTTGAAATTCCCCCCGGACATTTTTTTAGGTATGAAAAGTAGGACATGTCCAGGAAAAAAAAGAGGAAGTCTGGTCACCATATCAACAATTTCAATGTTTCAGTGACTGAGTGCTTGTTGCTATGACGAGCATTGTAAACCGACCAATCAGCGCACAGCTCATCTAAATATTCATGAGCATACCATAAAAGGAAGAAAACCTGTCGTTTCGATATGGGGCTCTTAACCAGGCTTGCATTAGGGCTCATAAAACAGCAAATATGCCATTTTCTGCCCAAACAGTGTTACACACCCTATTCAGAGAACTTAAGGACCAGCACCAAATACCCTATAGAATCATTCTATGACCCCTTTAAAGCTGTGCAACATCTCCTTTCAGACTTTGATGAGCCCACATCATAACCTTCAAGTTATATATTAATTTTTCTCTGGCCACTCACAGGTGGAAATGAGTTTGCTTTGGATTTGCTTGAGCTTAAGCTCAGAAACTGATTGTATGTTTTTTTTCCTTCTTATTTGTGCTAGAGACCCAAATGTGGTCATTTAAGTACTGAGCAGAAAAAACAACCAACCCAACCATTAACTTTAAGTATGATTTCTGAAAAAATGGGTTCATTGTATGCCGAGTTTAAGAGCCAAATAAGTTCCAAAAAGTTTATAAAAATGGTATTTATTAATTTTGAACAAAATCCTCCACCTGTTCTGTTTTATCTTAAGATCCCTGAGCTCAGGTTGGCCATGCCGTGGAGCACACTTTGTATTTTGATTGACAGCCAATGCGGCTCTGTTTCAATTACTGTTTTATATTTCAGAAAAGCACATGTTGAAATTCTTTTTCATCTTTTTGACCTTAGTCAGATGCAGGATATTGTTTCAATTTGTGGGACACCAAGACAAAATTGAAAAATGTGGCACAGTCCAACACAAATCAGATTGTCAGTTGACAGGTAGATCAGATCATTGCACTGTGCTCTGATAACAATTTTCTTCTGTTTGTAGCCCCTTTTAATACAACTGGCCGGCATTAGATATTGCACACAGCACTGAATAGATGTTACGTAATACACACTGCATTAATATCCAACTCAGTACCGTTCACTAAATGTTCGCAAAATCTCAGGCTGCGTCTATCCTGTGCAAACGTGGCACATAAAAAGCAGGGGGTGGGAAATTGATTCTTTACATAGGGTCTCCAAATAATGATTATTCCATGTGAATAAGGATAAAGATAAAGTTTAAAGTTTTTTGAATTATCTCAAACATTAAAGAGTGACAAAAAGGTGTAATTATTCATGTAATTTTATACATGTTAGATCTGCCATAACAGCCATTTCACCAATTTCAGAATAAAGGTAATCCAATTCATTAGAGCAATCTTACTGTAATTCCTTCTACTGTAACATCATGTAGCAGTAAAAATAAAATATGTATGTTTGGAATCAACCAGTGGAAATCATATTCTGTTTGTACTCGTGATTTTAAAAGTTGCCTCACCCGTATGTCCTCTGGGTCCAAGCTGTGCTCGCTCCAGGCAGACGTGATGCTGCTGTTGATGTAAGAGCCGGATCTTCCCATGTCCAGCTCCTCCTCATAGGCCTCAGTGGCGATATCGTCTCGGGCCGGAGCACCTTTGGTAACAAACTAAACCAGATTAAGACAAAGGTGTTAAGATAGTTGAATTCACGGTGTACAGTCCCTAAAATCCCAATTTTATTTAATATGCAGCCTTAACAAATGTGTATTTTGCTCTTAAACACTTTAATTAGGTTAATGTTACATAAGAACATAATGCGACAAAAAGGGAATCATTACATTAGAAGCAGTGCACTGCAGGCATCAGCATGATGAAGATTTCCTGCTGGCAGGCATTTCCATGACACGCAATAAACACACCCCATCACGTATGATGTATGAATATTATATGATAACCAATTAGGACATCCATAAACTTCATTAGTGTACATAATTCACCAGCCACCTGAGTAACACAATAAATGATGAGAAGAACGCAGTCCCTGTGACTCAATAAGGCATAAAAGAAAAAAACTAAATCTGAAGGAAAAAATAGAGAATAAGGTTGTAGTCAGAGAGGAATTCAAGTTTTAAAGAGAAATCTTATTTTTCTTTGGAGTTAGTGTCTATAAAGTCAATAATGGTTACTGCTACAATTTCTCAATTGATATATCTGGATAGATGGGGAAAAAATGATAGAAACAGAGATAAAGAAAACACACACTGTATCATGAACGCAAACAGATGGACCTAGTATTCAAGGAGAGACAGTCAGTAAGAAAGTTCAAAACGTTTAACAAACAAAACAAAAGCGGAGCTGTGGCTCGCGGACACTGCAGACGGGGCACCGCTCAATCTCAGACACTCTGGTTTAACAGTCCAGTCCTAGAAGTGCTGCAGTCCCAGAGATCATGTTGGAAGCCGATCCTGGTCAGGGATCCAGAACAGACAGGAACAGACAGGGACAAGATCCAGATCAGGCAGGAACAGAACAGGTGGCAGGATCCAGACTTCCAGGCATCCACAGGCACCCAGGAGGGTTCAGAGTCTGACTGGGACCAGATACATGACCAGGTGGTCACGCACAGGAGCAGACAGGATCAGGTGCAGACAGGCAGGCACAGTGGAAGAGGGTAGCCGAGACAGGACGAAGAACAGGAACTAGATGCAGGACTTTAAACTGGTCTCCCCCCTGGAGCCAGGCTTACTGGATAAAAACTGAACCTCCCCACATATTGAGCCAAAAACCCAGAGGACTCAGCAGGGGAGGAACAGTGGACGATCAGGAGACAAGACAAACACAAAAACCCTCTTTCCACTGGCTGCTAGGATCCAGGACATGAACCATGAACTAAAACTGAACAGACAGACTGACAGAAAGACAAGAAATGATCTGGCACTGAATGCTCAGGCTGAACTGAATATAACCAAGAGGAAACAGGTGAGAGGAATAAATTATAATTGAGGCAGGGAGGGAAAACGACAGGTGAAAGGAATGACTAATTAAGGGAGAGCAAACAGGCCAGATCATGACACACTGGGTGTTACGTTAAATAGAAAACGAGATCAAAGGTGGTTTTCTATTGCCTGATTTAGAACTAGAATCCATCATGAGAATCTGCCTGCAGACCTGCACTGTCAGGAGCCAGACCTGCACTGTCAGGACCAGAAGTTTACTCAGGAAGTGGTATTCAAACCATTCGAGAATAGCGCATAGCAAGTTTTTGCTGCCGGAACAGAGTTTATGACTTAAACTGAGCAAAAGAGAAGTATAAATTACACAGTAAGCAAAAATAATTACAGTTTACAGTTTAGGAAACCTCCAATGTCATTTAGAAAATATCTTGTAGACCAAATGCATTTTTACATCCAGTGTTCCAAATACAAAGACTTATTTCTATGTAGCACATATCTATAATTCCAGATAGAAGTTTGGTAGGGAGTAAAATTGTGAGTGCACATAAGTTTCCAGCATAACAAGACTTGTTTGTGAAAGAAGCTAGCTTCACAGGGAGTTGGAATCAACTTTGTTTTACTTTTAAAGTCTTTGAATAAACTCGCGGTTCTTACAGAGCAGGAAACCTCAAAGTGCAGCTCTGCAGCCAGGGTTACTTAGTGCAGGCCTGGGTCCTGAATGTGCAGGCCTGGGTCCTTACAATGCAGGTCTGCAGCCAAACCTCTTTCGAATCTGTCATACTGTAAGAAAGTCATTCCAAATATCCGTAAATATCTTTGGCTGCAATGCTGCAATTCTTCAACCTGTCACACAGTACGATGTAAGATCACAGACTTAAAACGAAGATTACTTCTTGGTTTTCCTAAAATTCTTCCTCTGTGATGGTCCACAATTGCATGCATTTTGCAGGCTATAGGGAAACAGATTGGGTTACAATAAAAAATACTAAAGGTATTCCAACAAAGTTGAAAAAAAAAAAAAAAAACCTGGACTTTGTTTTCCAAGTTTGAAGACATTTTGCTCCCCATCCAGGAAGCTTTTTCAATTTCAAATGTCTGGAGTAGGGTTTGAGTTCTAGGCTTATAGAGTGGCACAAACAAAAGCCATGTTGTGGCTTAGCAAAGAAGCAAACTGAACCACTGAACCAGAGCAGGTCCATCCCTTAGTAATGGGAA